TTGCACAGAAGAGAACTAATCCCCTCCTGTCTGTCTGTCTGTTTCTTTTTCTCTCTGTTATAATGATACGGAATGCTAGCTATACCAACAGTAGGCAGAACAGTATAATGATCCCCCCAACACCTCTCCATGCAGCCATGTGGCTACTGTGCTAGCTAGTTTTTATGTCAACTTGACATAAATTAACGTTATTTTGGAAGAAGGAACCTCGTTTGAGAAAATGCCCCCCCCACTAGATCAGCCCATGGACAAGCCTGTGGTACATTTTCTTGATTGATGATTGATCAATCAAGATGGTGCCACCCCACGGCTGGTGGTCCTGGATACTATAAGAAAGCAGGCTGAGCAAATTGTGAGGGGCAAGCCAGTAAGCAGCACTCTTTCATGGCCTCTGCATCAGCTCCTGCCTCTATGTTTCTGTCTTGAGTTCCTTTCATGATTTCCCTCATTGATGGACTGTTGCCTTGATTGGAATTGTGAGCTGAAACACCCCTCCCCGTACTGCATTTGAGTATGTTTTTTTTTTTTTTTTATCACAGCAACATAAACCTTAAAACAGCCATCTACCAGTAGCTCTCAGTTAGTGATCCACATTTTCCTTTTATCATCCTCTTGATCCTCCTATTTTGAATCATGCCCAGGTGTAATACATACTTTTATCCCCTGCTTATTTTTAGACTGTATGGATGACAAATAAGAACTTTTAAAATGTTAGCGCAACTTCATCATCACACATGGAAAGCACAGTGCCAAATATGCTGCCTCCGCCGCTCACCCGATTGCCTGACCAGTATCCTGGTCAGCTGCTTTCTGTCTCTGAATCAAGAGCCAAGTGAACAAACAGCAATTGCTCAATCTTCAAAAGGAGATCTCTGGCTAATTTGTAGACCCTCCCTTTTCATTTTGCTAGGTGTTTATAGAGGAAATAGGGCTTATTCTTATTTTGGTCCATGGGGTTGTTTTCAGTTTGCTAATAGGATTGGCTAATATGATGGTTTAGCAGGAGCCGCCACCCCTGTGGTTCTCATTAGTCGGTATCCAGGTCCAGAGGCTTGATCAGACTCAGGTTTGATGTTTTTGGCAAGACTTCACAGATGGCCTGTTGCACATCAGGAGACACTGAGGATGTCTGGTGGGTTTCTTTCTGTGATGTTCACACCCTTTGATGTCCAAAGCCCCATCAATTAACACATCAAGGACTGAAAAATTGGTGCTATGGCAGTTCCATCAGTTGATTCATCTGGGTCTGTTTTTATTAGCTGGGCTGTTTCTTTGTAGAGGAAAGCTCCCTCCTCTACAACTGGTCTACACAGCTTCTATACCTAGTGTGAATTGGAGTGCTGGGTCTTCCTCATTGAATACTTTCACTAGATGTTTCTATAAAGAATACTCATTAGACTTGTTTGAATATTTTTAAAGAATGCTTGAACTCAAGGATTTAAATGCATTCGTTGTTTTAATATATCTGAACTGTTCTAGCATATTCCCAAAAGAGCATACTCTTACAGCAACTACCCCCTTCCTCCAGGTAGGCTTCAGCTCCCTCATGTTTCACATCTTCCTCAGACAGCATCATCATCTCAAGACCAACTGTTGAGAGATGTGCCCTCCTGGGACCATTTCACACTCAAACCATAGCATACAAAGAGATGCTTAGACATCAGAACTAGGAAGGAAATGACTAGGCAGCCCTCTTCCATGACACCTTGTAGATGTAACCAACCATCTTATTAAATAAGAAACACAGAACCAATGCAAAGAAGAAAGCCAAGAGATCAGAGCTAAGAGCCTTACCCTGCAGCTAGCCTCTTAAGCCAAGAGACCTCTCCGAAAAGAGAGCTACTTCCTGTGTGTTTGTCTTTATATAGTCTTTCTGTTCTGCCTTCTCATTGGTTGTAAACCCAAACACGTGACTGCCTCATCACTGCCTGTAAGTACAGCCCTCCAGGTCTTAAAGGCGTGTGTCTCCAATGCTGGCTGTATCCCTGAACACACAGAGACTTACCTAGCTCTGCCTACCAAGTGCTGGGATTATAAGTGTACACCACCACCGCCATGCTCTTGCTATGGCTCTAATAGCTCTGACCCCCAGGCAACTTTATTTATTAGCATACAATTAAAATCACATTTCAGTACAAATAAAATACCACCATAACACCTAAAACATTTTAATTGATTTTTTAAAAATTTAATACATCTATACAAGGTATTTTGATCATATTCATTCCCTACTCCTCCCCCTTACTCCTGCCATATACATCTCTAAGCCAATCTCAAATCCATGTCCTCTTTTTAAACATAATTTTTCATAGTCTACTGATTCCAGTTGTGCAACCCATATACTCAGGTATGGGACTCTCCATTGGAATGTGGTTGATCTCCCATGAGCCACACCCTTGAAGAATACTGACTTTCCTTCTCTCAGAAGCCACCAACTGTCCATAGCTGGGGGGCGGGGAGCTTGTGGCCTTCTACTCCCTCCATGTTGCTGTGTTCACTGGGTTGATCTTATGGGCAGCCACAGCTGCTGTGAGTTCATGAGCACAGTAATCTTGTCCTATCCAGAAGACACTGTTTTGCTCTGGTCTTCCCTGACCTCTGGCTCTTACTGTCTTTTTGTCCCTTCTTCTGTGATGGCCCATGAGTCTTGGGTAGAGGGACATGGCATAGGTGTCCCATTAGTGGCTGAGCATTCCACTTTATTCTTTGCACTTTTCTTAGTTGTGGGTTTCCATATTAACTTTCATCCACTGCACAAAAAAAAAAAAAAAAAAAACCTCGAAAAGTATACAGAATAGCCATGGGCATGCTTTTTATGGTACAGACATCAGGTGGCTTTTCAACTCCCATTTTCTTTTATTTTTAATAACATGAGGAAAAGTGACCATCTAGCTTTGTATTACAATAAAAAAACTCAGGTAAAAGATTTTTTTTTTAAGTCAGACAGCTAATATTTGATAAAGCTAAGATTTGAAATGAACGTCTTTGACTGCAAAGTCCATCCATCAAAGTAGCATAAGAAAGTAATTTGGAACCTGGCTTCATGAGCAAGTTAAATGTTTTAAAGTTGGAAATTAATTTGAAAACAAAGAGTGACACTAAAAATGAAATGGTGACATTCCTCATGCCAGGGACAAGCTGCCCTCATTGCAGTTCTTTCAGTAATATATTACAGCCCCATTGGAAACTACCTGGGGTGAACGAAATTCAGATTCACGATGCGTTATGATAGAGGAATCAGTGGCCTCTGAGCCAGTGCAGCAGGGGTGACTTCTGAGCCTGTTTGTTGGACTTCAGCCAAGTTACTAACTGCATTTCAACTTCAGGTTCTTTGTCTATGCCAAAGGGATGATGAGGGTAGCCAGTGTGCAGGCATCCTGCTGGAGCTAAAGTGGAGCTTGTGCCTCCCCCACCCCGTGTGTGTGTGTGTGTGTGTGTGTGTGTGTGTGTGTGTGTGTGTGTGTGTGTGTGTGA